AATCCAATATAATAAAATACAATCATCACAGAAATCATACAAAATGAGTATATCACAAAATAAATTAACAATACTAAAATATCACCATAAATGGTCACCGGAGAAGAATCAAATGTTTGACGAATCAAACTCACCATAAACGCCAGTGCATATGACTAGTCACAACTTACTGGATTTGACCAAGGCTGCTCTATGATCAGGGATGTACCAACTCTGAATTTTAAGATTCCTCTATCCTACCATCACAATTATAATTCATAATTCCATATCTACCACAATCATCAAAAATTTTCATTCCAACAAGATATATTGCACAATAATTTAACAGTATATGTTCAACAAGATTTAAGTTAAAAACTTGTCGAGTAGACTTTTAGGAAAGAGAGGTGCGTCACAATGGACAACTTAAGTACCAAGTCTTTTCTTAGCCAAAGTGTTCCTCAACTAGTTTTAACAACTTTCTTATTTACAGATTCAAAACAACAACATATAATATTAACACAGAAATTCAATATAGATAGATATATAACAAGCACCTATGTTTTTCATTAACAGTATTCACACAGAATTTCAAGACATGAATAGTAATAAAATAATACTAAATCATAATATAAAAGCATAGAAAGGTTAGCTCCCCTACCTCTATTCAAGACTTAATCTTTTACTCAGAATTTGTTTCCCCGAAAACCCTCCAAAGCCTCCACTCTTCTTGCAACTAAAAATTTATTCCTAACTCTTTCTTCTCTATTTCTCAAGATTTCTCACTTGATTCTTCATCTCTTTATGCAAAATAACCTCACATCTCATAGCTATTTATAGTCCAAAAATTTTACTATTTAACAATTTTTTAATATTATTTATTATTTTAATATATTAATATTTTAATCACCACTTGACATATTTGATCTCTCAATAATGACTTCAAACGTGGAGAGTTTATCGACTATCACTATTTTAATTTTTTTTTTACAAAAAGGTAGAAAAGAGTTTGAACCCATGTTCTTGAAATCACCACAATTTTCTACCATTTAAGCTACCAAAATTTCTTATTTAACTTTCCACATTTTATTTTTACATAAACTTATTAATTATATTTTCCATTCACAAAGAAATTTATTACTACTAGTAATAAAATTGTTACTATTAAGGTAAATATTTTTCATGGGTCTTACAAAAACAATCATAACAACAAAAATACATACATACATATTAATTATATCAACCATAATCAAACACACAACAAGATGCATACCTTCTAATTATACCAACCATTATCAAACACATAACAGGATACATATCTTCCGATTAAACTAAAAATTACTTTAGATAAATAAATTTTTAAAAGTATTATTTTCAAATTTTTCCACCTCTCATTAATTTCGAATATATCTTTTACGTTCCAAAACTAACAAGACACGAGGAAATTTAAGAGCTTAACTTATTTATTTAGTAAATCTAAAAAAAATAAAATAAAATGAGTTATTTGAATGCGAAAATTAAAACTTTTAAAATTTCAATAAGTATTTCAAATAATTAAAATAATATAATTTGAAATTCAAGTAAGAAAAAAAGAAAGAAATTAAAATTTAACAACTAGATAGTCTTTCTTTAGGTGTTAATGACTCATGATTCTTAGGTTAACTCCAACCCACTCTTAAGTAAGTCTCTATTTTATTAGTTAACTTGACTTGACTTTTGACTTAAGTAAACTTTGCTCGACCTTTGACATAGCTATTATTTGGTCTAATTAACTTAATTAGACATATAGACCAAAACAATTTGACTCGACCTTTAGCCTAGGAAAACTCATATCAATCATTGTTCCGGTTGACTTAAATGAACATTTGCTCGGGTTGACTCATATCAACTTTTGTCTAAGTCGACTCAGATAAACCTTCAACCAAAGACGAATTGCATCGACCTTCTGTCCTATTCAACATTGGCATAAGTTGATTGGACTCGATTCTTTAGTCAGACCAACTTGGGTCTACCTTTGACCTGACTAACTCAGCTCAACCTTCGGTCAGATTGACTTGACTTAACTTTCAACCACGCTGACTCGACTCGATCTTTAGGCCTTTTAGGCTGGTCAACATGGTTTGACCTTTGGCTTAGATTGACTCAACTCAACTTTCAGCTCAGTCTAGCTCAACTTGACTTTCGACTCGATCTAACTCAACTCGACTTTCAACCTGGTTTAGCTTAACTCGATTCTTCGACCCGATCTACTTGGCTAGCCTTCGACTTGAGGTGGTTTAAATCAATTCTTCAACTCGATGACTTGGCTCGACCTTTAGTCAATATCAACTTGGCTCGACTTGATTCTTTGATCCAATTGACTTAACTCAACCTTTAACTTAGACCATCTCATCTAAATATTCAATTTAAATTGACTTATTTCGACCTTTGACTTAAAGTTACCATTTCAACTTTTGTTATTTTTTTAGCCATGTAAGTTTTCTTATGTGAGTTTCTTAACTTGGACTCATAAAATCAAACCATGTGAGTTGGACTAAATTGACACTTCTACTTTCTATATACATATACATCTACCTATTAAAAGATAAATTGCTAAGTATTATTTTAATATTTAAATTTAACTACTGTTTTGTAAATTTTAATTTTAAAATACATACTTTTAAAATTAAAATTTTTTCATAAAAAATAATTTTAATTATTTTATTTAAATAAGAAAATAAAAAAACGTAAGATATTTTAATTATTATATTCAAAATATTAAGAAAATTATAAAAAAATAATTAAAAGTATTTCTAATTTCAAATATTTCAATTTTTTAAATTGTTGGGATCCCAATCACAAGGTGAAAATTTAACCATGGCAGAAGTTAGGTAAGTGATTCAAACTGAAATTCACTATATCAGGATTTACTTTCTTGTTAATACATTTTCCCAAGTATCCAATAACAATTTGTTTTATCATCACATCATACTAATGAATAAGATGAGATACTAAAATAATCATCAGTAATGTAGATGAATTAGACTCCTGAAGTTATCCCTTAATTTTCCATCTGATCTAGAGACACTGCTACACAGCAAAACCAGTTGCTGGAGAAGAACGTTTTAGAATGACTTTTAAACTCTTCTATACTTTTAGCTTATTTTGCATCATTGAACAAAAAACTTGCTTTGTTCCATGGATAATGCATGCAAAACTTCATGCAGAATGTAATTTTGTCATAATAAACAACAAGGATTATCATGTTTTAATCTTCTAAAATTTTCCGAGTTCATTTTTCCAAATTTTGAAATATATTATTTCTACTTTTTTAATCTTTCTAATTTTGAAATATACTAATTTGAGTTTTCCAAATTATTTTGACAACTTTTTATAAACAAGAAGGAATATTTAAATGATGTTTAACTGACTAACAATTGAGCATTTCAAACTTAGAATAACCCAAAATAGACAACAACAGAAATTAGAGAAACTTAACTTAAAATTTAGTTATTTCAGGTGGAAAAGCATAATTTTTCAGATAAGAGTCTATATATAGGTTTAAACTCTTTAGTTGTCCCTATTTATGTGGGTTTTTCCCAATTTGATCTCCTTCTTATTAGAATCTCATTGAGTCTTTATAAGTGTTCATTTGAATCAATTGAGCCCCTGCCGTTAAATTTAGTTAACAGGGTTAAGTTTTTGCACAGGTGGAACATTGATGTGTCAAATTTTTAAAACGTGGCATACTGAGAGTTGAATACGTGGAATTTAGCAACTTTTTAAATTTTAATAATATGAATTTTTGAAATGAGATTTAGGGTTCATAAAAGAGGAGGAAGAAGCTACAGGTGGCAAAGAAGATGAAAGTAAATTTGTCATTAAATGGACAGAGGATGACCAAAAGAACCTCATGGATCTGGGAAATTTAGAGCTGGAAAGGAACACGCGGTTGGAGAATCTTATTGTCAGAAGAAGAAAGGAGATTGATATATGAGAAGAATCTAATAGACTTAGACTTTGCTGATATTCCCAATAAAAACCCAACACAGAAAAACCCAAACAGCATCCAGAGCACCACCGTGAATCTCCTCGCGCGATCTCCTTCTTTCACCTGTAATTCCCAAAATCCAGAAAACACAAAAAAAAAACCAAACCGCCACTCTCCCTGAAATTGCGAGTCTTCTCCTCCATCACCGTCGCACAACCCATAATCGCATCAGCCTACATCGCGCTACCTTCACTTGCAGATCCAGAAAAGCCAGAAGTGTTGTAACCACCAATAACTTCTTCTCCATAGATCGTGACGCAAACCCTACAAGAAACCACTTCTCAGAATCGCGCCACTGCTTCCATGTTCTTCCTCCTCCAGAGATTTTGAAACCTACAAGGAAAGCAAAGAACCAGAAATAGATTCCTTAGTGCGACCCAGTAGCAATGTCGCGCCATCAGCAGCGGTGAGCAATCCTTCATTAGTTAGCCAAACCCACGTCGCGGTAGTGCACCATCTCCCATTGGCGGCGTAGAAGCAGGAACAATTTTCCCCAATTTGCTGAAATGCAATTAGGGTGGATTTGATCAACAACCACTTCTCATATCTACCACCACTTAATCTCCATCCCTTCGTCTGATCTACAACCACTTCTCAGATTTTTAATCTCATTCAATTTGATTGAACCCTAAATCCCATTTTAGAAATCCTAATATTATATTATTACATTTTACCAAAATTCCACGCAGGCCTAAACCATGCCACGTTTCAACTCTCACCATGACACGTTTTAAAAATTTGACACATCAATCTTCCACCTGTGTAAAAAACTTAACTCCGTTAACTAAATTTAACAGCATGGGCTCAATTGATTCAAATTAGCACTTATAAGGACTCAATTGGGGATTCTAATAAGGGGATCAAACTGGAAAAAACCCACATAAATAGGGACAACTAAAGGGTTTAAACCTTATATAGTATGAATTTACATATTTAGTACTCGAAACCAATCTAAAGAGAAGCACACATAGGAGAGGATAACCCATAAATCGCAATGCGAAACCAAAAATTTTATTATGAATGTCAATGTTTGAATAACATATACATCTAAAGATATTCTTAAAGAAACCCTAATCCAATATAAGAATTTCAGGATTATATATATTTTTAGTCAATCTAAATATACAAGCACTTTCTTTTAATCCCCAGAAGAATTTCAGGATTATATATATTTTTAGTCAATCTAAATATACAAGCACTTTCTTTTAATCCCCAAAAAGACTGTTTCCTTTTGCTTCCTTATATTTGGAAGCGATATTTAACCCAAATCCTAATGGTGTATTAGTTTATATTGGGAAGTAAAATATGACTGTCAAAAAATATTTAAATGAAGATAAAATATAAAAAGCTCAGGCATAACCCGGTTCATAGTCAACATCCATAGTAGAGAGGTTCTTCAACTCAGTTCTTCGGCAAATATCATATCAAATACAAATTGAACTGCGGCCAAAAGTCAAACAGCAAAAAGATGACATTAGTATAAGTGTTTCACTCAGCAATGGTTAGTGTAAAAACTTTTCTATACTATCATCCTATCACGTGTTTGCCACTTACAGATTAAATCCTAGTTAGCTGAGAATAAGATGAATAAAAAGTGCACAACTCCAAGTACTATATTCTTAGGAAAAACTCAGGCCTGCATCAAGGTGACATGTGTTTCTAAAACAACGCATGAAATGCATAAAAAAAAATAACAAGAGACCAACTCTAGGTAATTTGACAGTATCCGGTCTCTCTCTCCCGAATAGATATTAGCATCTCAAGCGATTACTTTCAGATTTTCAGATCAGGAGTACCTCAGATTCCTCTTAAATACACCTTAGTTATCTTGTGATCCTATCATTAGAGAACACCAAAGACAACGTATCCTAAAAGTTAAAATTGTTTTGTTGTACTATTCTCTCGCTTCTCCTTTCCTCACACACCCCCACCCCACCCCACCACAAATAAATGTGTTATAAACTCCCCAGAAACTAGATCATCTGAACAAATTAATAAAATGTCCATCTCTTTAGTTTAACATATTTAGTTCTCCTAAAAATGAGGGGTACCAGACTTGTAGAGTTTTATTCTATAGATTCTTTAAACAAAACAATGTAAAATTTCAGTAGTAAAAGCTTTTCCAAACCAAAGCCATTGTTTTCATGTAATCAACAGCTTTATTCGACTCAGCAATTATACTTGCAGGGCAAGTTATGGTTTCCCAAGTCTCAGAAATTTAACGAACTCCAATTTACTTTAGAACAGTTGAATCAAATTTGACATCTTACAATGTCTATATAAAGCAATCCAGAGTGAAACGGTATAATAGTAGATTCTATTCGTTAACAACAGCGAAATTGTGAAATCAAATATAAAAAAAAAAAAATTAACTATGCTCCAACAGTGATCTAAGGATCATATAGGAGGCCCCAAAAGCATACGGAGGTCTAATTCAAAATGAAGCATTCCAAACTATTATCATAAGCATTACATGAAATTAATGGTGCTGACATGCATATACATTTTGTATTGTTAATGCCCAAAACATCACTTCTACTACCTCACAGATAATACTCGCCTACCTTCCTCAGTTTGGATATTGGGTTGATCAACCAAGAGTTGCTGAAGTGCAACGAGATCACTGACACTGCAATGCAGTAAATGCAAAGTACAGAATAAAACATTGGACATCATAAGTACAGGCATTGGAAAATGAAAGCAAGTTTTTTCATGAATAAAGTAAATGATGAATGTAGCTATCTCAATGTATATAGAATTGGATGCAAGAGCAGAAACATATCACTAGTTTGCATCGTTGCCTTTGCTTTCCTTGATAGAAAGATTCCGATGCTAAATGCAGAATGTAGATTTCCTTGTAGTTTTATGACTATGAATAACAACAAAACTATATCATGGTTTAGGTAAATTAGAAAATAAGGAGCTAGGTACTGAAAATGTTTTCTACTTGTAATTCTGTAACTTAGTAGAGAGCTCATTAAAGGTATCAAAGTTGGCTTAAAAGAAGTTGAGGTTTAACATATTCACTTCACTGACGACTCATCTTTTCATGGAGGAGAAATAGTGATGCCTTTGTGAATTTTCTGAATATACTAAGTTAACTAAGTCATTGAGAGTGCTTTTGTTTAAAGTTTGACTGAAAAAAGACGACCTGATTTGAATGGGATAACAAAATTCTTTTACATGCTCTCGAGGCTGCTTCTAAAGGTTACAGGCTTACAGCATCATCTCATTTATTTTCCCACACAGTCACAAATATATCGTCAAAGCAACAAAATATACACAAGTGCATGTGTGGGCATGGACACACAGTCACACAGATACACAATCATGACATTTGAATGGCTAAACAGTAGCATTGGTATTTTCATACCTGGGTTTTAAAGCCATTTCGGATAGGGCAGAGATCACTGATGATTTTAATAAATACCTATTACAAAAGAAAAAAAAAACTAGTAAATATTTTTTTTACTCAATCAACATGGTGTTATCAAAAGTAGAAACGAAGGGAAAAAGCATTTCTGCACAAAGCCTTTAAATGGAAAAGGTTGCATTTCATCATCATAACATCTTGAGAGAGGATGCAGTTGATGATAGTTTTGGAAGAAAGTATATTTTAAACTTAACTTAACCTAATAAAATCAATTTATAGAAGTTTGTACCTAATTATATATTATAATTTAGTTGATGAGGAATTTCAAACTCTACCAGGTCGGTGGGTGTTTATCTAGTAACCCAACTCACTTTTTCTCAAACAAAATTCCATAAAACTGGCAACATATATCAATGTACTTAATGTCCAAGCCCATGCAACATAGGTCAACAACTATCCCCATGCAAAGAGTACAAAGTCACACTTTGAGCTCCACTCCCTTTCTTTTCAGTTAAAAATTCTTCCTACCATGTCAGTCCCTTCAACCAACTTATGCTACCAACAGGTTGGAAAACTCCTACTGAATTCTTTATATAAGCGATGTGTTTCATTTGGCAATTTAGAAGACATCATTCTAACTGAAATAGATCTAACTTAGGTAGTTGAGGCCTTTAGTTTTTTTCTATTTTTTCTTTTCCTTCGACTTTCATTTCTTCTTCATTAAGGTCATACTATGCTCAATATACATTACAAATCAATGTTTGACTTTTCTCTTGAAAGGGAGTTAAACCAAAGTAATAACGTTGAAAAAAGAAAAACAACAAACTTCATAAATGGAATGCAATTCAAATGTTGCCATGTTCATTACACTTCCTGCCAATCTTTGAATTTGCTATATTAAAATTTAAGTTTAAGTTACTGCATTTCTGGCTTGTCAAGAAGCACATAATATACATTAAGAAAAAGTTGTTCCTTACTCAGAGTTGTATATCTCATGTATTAACATCAGGCTATCAAGGCAATAAATAACACTAGGTTTCATGCCAACTTGTTGCTGCAATTGTTTCTTATTCAGTTGAGAAGAACCGCCATTCACTAGTTGTCTACTGTCTCGGTGAATTTTGTCAAGAGATAAGGCAATACAACGAAACTCTTCCCTGAAAATTCAAATTAAAATTTAGTCACAAAAACAAACAAACCATCCCCTACAGATCATCAATGTTCATAACCTTTATCATAAAAGCTGAACCAAAAACACTTAATAATTTCTTATTTTCATCACGTACACCTAAAGACTCAAAGAAGGATAAAACAAAGACAATTACCATTTCATCAACATCGTGAAAAATAACCACTATGCATTGGACTAATCTCTATGGTTGACTCATATAAAAGATATCATATGTAACTTGTATACATGACACAGCCTTCTCTAGTTAAACTTGATACAATGATATAATCAATCCATGTCAACAGCTGCTAGTAAAAGAGACTGGAGCTCATTTCAAAAGCCGTTCTCCAAGAAACGTTTGGGCAAAAGTAAAAAATATTTAAAAAGCTGCCACACAAGTGCACCTCAATGTTGAAAACGACCTAACTAAACACACAAACGTAATTTAGTGAAAACATTTTGGTCATTCTGCATGAAGCACAAAACCACATTTAATCTTTGAAAACACTCATCAAAGAGTTGTGGTTTGTGCATTGTGGCTAGAAGAAATTAGGTCCTGTTTGGTTTGGATGATTTTTTCCATATAACTTCAAGGAAAAGAAAATAAAAAAAAGGGAAATAAAATGAAATATTCCATACGCTAAAAGAATTTGTTTTAACTTATCTGCATAAGAAAATGTTGGCCTATAGGAAATTTTATTTCATTTTTCCTTTTAAACTTTCCTCTTATTAATGTATAAGGAGAAACTTATCCGAAACACTCTTAACCAACATTTTGGTACTTATGTCATTACAAAAAAATAGGGAACAATTCCAAACAGAAAACAAGATTGCATTAGCCATAAAATTAAATTAAAATACTCATCAGTTTTATATATAACTAAATATCAATAGAAACTCACAAAGTCTTTCTCATGGAAACCAAAATGTTGCTGAGCGATTCAATTTGCTTCTCCAAAAGAGCACCTCTCATGCCACTGACACAATTTAGAACACCATGATTGTTGGAATTTTGAAGCAACTACAACATTGGCAGTATCAAGGACAAATCATTAATAAATAGGGTAGAAAAAAATAAAATAAAAGTATACAGTAAAAGTATAAGGCAATTCAAATAACCTGTAACCTATCGACAATATGGGAAGCGTTCCTAAACTGTGAAATTAAGCAAGATTGAAGTTCGTCCCATCTATTTATCTCTTCCCTAACTTTGATGAATTTTGACCGAAATTTTTTCACTATCGATTCCATTATTGTCAATGCTGAACCGACCAGTCATGAGGAAGAAAAAAGTAATTGTCAGCTACAGCTAAAAATCGCGTTTTGAATCCTTTAGGTGTTCGTTTCCAAGCGTACCTCACAGACGAATGTTCAAAGGCAATGGCGGCGGAGATATGACCGTTTCTTATCGAAAATTAATCTAGCGCTGTAGTCGACGCTTGGCGCGGTGGGATTTGGTGTCGCTGTGGAGGTGATGGCGAGGTCGAAGGTGGCGGCGCGGTAGGAGTTGATTGTATGATAGGAGGTAGTGAGGCGGTGAGGAGTGGTGGTGGTTTCACGGTAGGAAGCCGGCGTGGTGGCACGGTGGGACGCTCGCGCGGTGGTGGAAGGCTGGCACAGTAGCTGTGGAAGAAGAGACAGTGCCTTTGGAGCAGACGGGAGCGGCACGTGTATTTTAATAAAATAAAATAAAGTTACTTTTAAATTAGAAACCTAAGGTAAATGCTTCATAAAACAAAGATTCACATATTTTAGTGTGACAAAAATTAGTCATGCTATACAACTTTAATGAGGTTAATTTTATTTATATTTAATAGTTGAGATAATAATATAGAAAAGTTAACGTTACTTCTTATCTCAATTACTAACAAAATTTAACTAAAACTAACAAATAAATTTTTTTATTGTAGTAAAACAAAAATAAAATGTTTTACGAGACCTACTATTTAGTTAAATATGATTATCAATAAAAAAAATCTATTGTTTACACAAATCATTAAGATTTTACTGAAATATTTAAATTATAATTATTTTGATAATGAGGTCGACAACTGTCTTGTATCCTGTTAGTTCAAACTCTAAAGTGTCTTGTAATTTAAGTCTTGGCTCGTTTACTCTTTTAGATAATGCAGTGGGTCACCTACAAAAGATATCAGGATATTTAAGTCACTAGATGACGGTAAGTAGAGTTAATTCTTGAGAGTACATTAAATGTAATCGCCTATCTTATTACCCTAAACATGTATTTATAGGTTTTGAAATTGACTTTTAAGTNTAATAGACTTAGACTTTGCTGATATTCCCAATAAAAACCCAACCCAGAAAAACCCAAACAGCATCCAGAGCACCACCGTGAATCTCCTCGCGCGATCTCCTTCTTTCACCTGTAATTCCCAAAATCCAGAAAACACAAAAAAAAAACCAAACCGCCACTCTCCCTGAAATTGCGAGTCTTCTCCTCCATCACCGTCGCACAACCCATAATCGCATCAGCCTACATCGCGCTACCTTCACTTGCAGATCCAGAAAAGCCAGAAGTGTTGTAACCACCAATAACTTCTTCTCCATAGATCGTGACGCAAACCCTACAAGAAACCACTTCTCAGAATCGCGCCACTGCTTCCATGTTCTTCCTCCTCCAGAGATTTTGAAACCTACAAGGAAAGCAAAGAACCAGAAATAGATTCCTTAGTGCGACCCAGTAGCAATGTCGCGCCATCAGCAGCGGTGAGCAATCCTTCATTAGTTAGCCAAACCCACGTCGCGGTAGTGCACCATCTCCCATTGGCGGCGTAGAAGCAGGAACAATTTTCCCCAATTTGCTGAAATGCAATTAGGGTGGATTTGATCAACAACCACTTCTCATATCTACCACCACTTAATCTCCATCCCTTCGTCTGATCTACAACCACTTCTCAGATTTTTAATCTCATTCAATTTGATTGAACCCTAAATCCCATTTTAGAAATCCTAATATTATATTATTACATTTTACCAAAATTCCACGCAGGCCTAAACCATGCCACGTTTCAACTCTCACCATGACACGTTTTAAAAATTTGACACATCAATCTTCCACCTGTGTAAAAAACTTAACTCCGTTAACTAAATTTAACAGCATGGGCTCAATTGATTCAAATTAGCACTTATAAGGACTCAATTGGGGATTCTAATAAGGGGATCAAACTGGAAAAAACCCACATAAATAGGGACAACTAAAGGGTTTAAACCTTATATAGTATGAATTTACATATTTAGTACTCGAAACCAATCTAAAGAGAAGCACACATAGGAGAGGATAACCCATAAATCGCAATGCGAAACCAAAAATTTTATTATGAATGTCAATGTTTGAATAACATATACATCTAAAGATATTCTTAAAGAAACCCTAATCCAATATAAGAATTTCAGGATTATATATATTTTTAGTCAATCTAAATATACAAGCACTTTCTTTTAATCCCCAGAAGAATTTCAGGATTATATATATTTTTAGTCAATCTAAATATACAAGCACTTTCTTTTAATCCCCAAAAAGACTGTTTCCTTTTGCTTCCTTATATTTGGAAGCGATATTTAACCCAAATCATAATGGTGTATTAGTTTATATTGGGAAGTAAAATATGACTGTCAAAAAATATTTAAATGAAGATAAAATATAAAAAGCTCAGGCATAACCCGGTTCATAGTCAACATCCATAGTAGAGAGGTTCTTCAACTCAGTTCTTCGGCAAATATCATATCAAATACAAATTGAACTGCGGCCAAAAGTCAAACAGCAAAAAGATGACATTAGTATAAGTGTTTCACTCAGCAATGGTTAGTGTAAAAACTTTTCTATACTATCATCCTATCACGTGTTTGCCACTTACAGATTAAATCCTAGTTAGCTGAGAATAAGATGAATAAAAAGTGCACAACTCCAAGTACTATATTCTTAGGAAAAACTCAGGCCTGCATCAAGGTGACATGTGTTTCTAAAACAACGCATGAAATGCATAAAAAAAAATAACAAGAGACCAACTCTAGGTAATTTGACAGTATCCGGTCTCTCTCTCCCGAATAGATATTAGCATCTCAAGCGATTACTTTCAGATTTTCAGATCAGGAGTACCTCAGATTCCTCTTAAATACACCTTAGTTATCTTGTGATCCTATCATTAGAGAACACCAAAGACAACGTATCCTAAAAGTTAAAATTGTTTTGTTGTACTATTCTCTCGCTTCTCCTTTCCTCACACACCCCCACCCCACCCCACCACAAATAAATGTGTTATAAACTCCCCAGAAACTAGATCATCTGAACAAATTAATAAAATGTCCATCTCTTTAGTTTAACATATTTAGTTCTCCTAAAAATGAGGGGTACCAGACTTGTAGAGTTTTATTCTATAGATTCTTTAAACAAAACAATGTAAAATTTCAGTAGTAAAAGCTTTTCCAAACCAAAGCCATTGTTTTCATGTAATCAACAGCTTTATTCGACTCAGCAATTATACTTGCAGGGCAAGTTATGGTTTCCCAAGTCTCAGAAATTTAACGAACTCCAATTTACTTTAGAACAGTTGAATCAAATTTGACATCTTACAATGTCTATATAAAGCAATCCAGAGTGAAACGGTATAATAGTAGATTCTATTCGTTAACAACAGCGAAATTGTGAAATCAAATATAAAAAAAAAAAAATTAACTATGCTCCAACAGTGATCTAAGGATCATATAGGAGGCCCCAAAAGCATACGGAGGTCTAATTCAAAATGAAGCATTCCAAACTATTATCATAAGCATTACATGAAATTAATGGTGCTGACATGCATATACATTTTGTATTGTTAATGCCCAAAACATCACTTCTACTACCTCACAGATAATACTCGCCTACCTTCCTCAGTTTGGATATTGGGTTGATCAACCAAGAGTTGCTGAAGTGCAACGAGATCACTGACACTGCAATGCAGTAAATGCAAAGTACAGAATAAAACATTGGACATCATAAGTACAGGCATTGGAAAATGAAAGCAAGTTTTTTCATGAATAAAGTAAATGATGAATGTAGCTATCTCAATGTATATAGAATTGGATGCAAGAGCAGAAACATATCACTAGTTTGCATCGTTGCCTTTGCTTTCCTTGATAGAAAGATTCCGATGCTAAATGCAGAATGTAGATTTCCTTGTAGTTTTATGACTATGAATAACAACAAAACTATATCATGGTTTAGGTAAATTAGAAAATAAGGAGCTAGGTACTGAAAATGTTTTCTACTTGTAATTCTGTAACTTAGTAGAGAGCTCATTAAAGGTATCAAAGTTGGCTTAAAAGAAGTTGAGGTTTAACATATTCACTTCACTGACGACTCATCTTTTCATGGAGGAGAAATAGTGATGCCTTTGTGAATTTTCTGAATATACTAAGTTAACTAAGTCATTGAGAGTGCTTTTGTTTAAAGTTTGACTGAAAAAAGACGACCTGATTTGAATGGGATAACAAAATTCTTTTACATGCTCTCGAGGCTGCTTCTAAAGGTTACAGGCTTACAGCATCATCTCATTTATTTTCCCACACAGTCACAAATATATCGTCAAAGCAACAAAATATACACAAGTGCATGTGTGGGCATGGACACACAGTCACACAGATACACAATCATGACATTTGAATGGCTAAACAGTAGCATTGGTATTTTCATACCTGGGTTTTAAAGCCATTTCGGATAGGGCAGAGATCACTGATGATTTTAATAAATACCTATTACAAAAGAAAAAAAAAACTAGTAAATATTTTTTTTACTCAATCAACATGGTGTTATCAAAAGTAGAAACGAAGGGAAAAAGCATTTCTGCACAAAGCCTTTAAATGGAAAAGGTTGCATTTCATCATCATAACATCTTGAGAGAGGATGCAGTTGATGATAGTTTTGGAAGAAAGTATATTTTAAACTTAACTTAACCTAATAAAATCAATTTATAGAAGTTTGTACCTAATTATATATTATAATTTAGTTGATGAGGAATTTCAAACTCTACCAGGTCGGTGGGTGTTTATCTAGTAACCCAACTCACTTTTTCTCAAACAAAATTCCATAAAACTGGCAACATATATCAATGTACTTAATGTCCAAGCCCATGCAACATAGGTCAACAACTATCCCCATGCAAAGAGTACAAAGTCACACTTTGAGCTCCACTCCCTTTCTTTTCAGTTAAAAATTCTTCCTACCATGTCAGTCCCTTCAACCAACTTATGCTACCAACAGGTTGGAAAACTCCTACTGAATTCTTTATATAAGCGATGTGTTTCATTTGGCAATTTAGAAGACATCATTCTAACTGAAATAGATCTAACTTAGGTAGTTGAGGCCTTTAGTTTTTTTCTATTTTTTCTTTTCCTTCGACTTTCATTTCTTCTTCATTAAGGTCATACTATGCTCAATATACATTACAAATCAATGTTTGACTTTTCTCTTGAAAGGGAGTTAAACCAAAGTAATAACGTTGAAAAAAGAAAAACAACAAACTTCATAAATGGAATGCAATTCAAATGTTGCCATGTTCATTACACTTCCTGCCAATCTTTGAATTTGCTATATTAAAATTTAAGTTTAAGTTACTGCATTTCTGGCTTGTCAAGAAGCACATAATATACATTAAGAAAAAGTTGTTCCTTACTCAGAGTTGTATATCTCATGTATTAACATCAGGCTATCAAGGCAATAAATAACACTAGGTTTCATGCCAACTTGTTGCTGCAATTGTTTCTTATTCAGTTGAGAAGAACCGCCATTCACTAGTTGTCTACTGTCTCGGTGAATTTTGTCAAGAGATAAGGCAATACAACGAAACTCTTCCCTGAAAATTCAAATTAAAATTTAGTCACAAAAACAAACAAACCATCCCCTACAGATCATCAATGTTCATAACCTTTATCATAAAAGCTGAACCAAAAACACTTAATAATTTCTTATTTTCATCAAGTACACCTAAAGACTCAAAGAAGGATAAAACAAAGACAATTACCATTTCATCAACATCGTGAAAAATAACCACTATGCATTGGACTAATCTCTATGGTTAACTCATATAAAAGATATCATATGTAACTTGTATACATGACACAGCCTTCTCTAGTTAAACTTGATACAATGATATAATCAATCCATGTCAACAGCTGCTAGTAAAAGAGACTGGAGCTCATTTCAAAAGCCGTTCTCCAAGAAACGTTTGGGCAAAAGTAAAAAATATTTAAAAAGCTGCCACACAAGTGCACCTCAATGTTGAAAACGACCTAACTAAACACACAAACGTAATTTAGTGAAAACATTTTGGTCATTCTGCATGAAGCACAAAACCACATTTAATCTTTGAAAACACTCATCAAAGAGTTGTGGTTTGTGCATTGTGGCTAGAAGAAATTAGGTCCTGTTTGGTTTGGATGATTTTTTCCATATAACTTCAAGGAAAAGAAAATAAAAAAAAGGGAAATAAAATGAAATATTCCATACGCTAAAAGAATTTGTTTTAACTTATCTGCATAAGAAAATGTTGGCCTATAGGAAATTTTATTTCATTTTTCCTTTTAAACTTTCCTCTTATTAATGTATAAGGAGAAACTTATCCGAAACACTCTTAACCAACATTTTGGTACTTATGTCATTACAAAAAAATAGGGAACAATTCCAAACAGAAAACAAGATTGCATTAGCCATAAAATTAAATTAAAATACTCATCAGTTTTATATATAACTAAATATCAATAGAAACTCACAAAGTCTTTCTCATGGAAACCAAAATGTTGCTGAGCGATTCAATTTGCTTCTCCAAAAGAGCACCTCTCATGCCACTGACACAATTTAGAACACCATGATTGTTGGAATTTTGAAGCAACTACAACATTGGCAGTATCAAGGACAAATCATTAATAAATAGGGTAGAAAAAAATAAAATAAAAGTATACAGTAAAAGTATAAGGCAATTCAAATAACCTGTAACCTATCGACAATATGGGAAGCGTTCCTAAACTGTGAAATTAAGCAAGATTGAAGTTCGTCCCATCTATTTATCTCTTCCCTAACTTTGATGAATTTTGACCGAAATTTTTTCACTATCGATTCCATTATTGTCAATGCTGAACCGACCAGTCATGAGGAAGAAAAAAGTAATTGTCAGCTACAGCTAAAAATCGCGTTTTGAATCCTTTAGGTGTTCGTTTCCAAGCGTACCTCACAGACGAATGTTCAAAGGCAATGGCGGCGGAGATATGACCGTTTCTTATCGAAAATTAATCTAGCGCTGTAGTCGACGCTTGGCGCGGTGGGATTTGGTGTCGCTGTGGAGGTGATGGCGAGGTCGAAGGTGGCGGCGCGGTAGGAGTTGATTGTATGATAGGAGGTAGTGAGGCGGTGAGGAGTGGTGGTGGTTTCACGGTAGGAAGCCGGCGTGGTGGCACGGTGGGACGCTCGCGCGGTGGTGGAAGGCTGGCACAGTAGCTGTGGAAGAAGAGACAGTGCCTTTGGAGCAGACGGGAGCGGCACGTGTATTTTAATAAAATAAAATAAAGTTACTTTTAAATTAGAAACCTAAGGTAAATGCTTCATAAAACAAAGATTCACATATTTTAGTGTGACAAAAATTAGTCATGCTATACAACTTTAATGAGGTTAATTTTATTTATATTTAATAGTTGAGATAATAATATAGAAAAGTTAACGTTACTTCTTATCTCAATTACTAACAAAATTTAACTAAAACTAACAAATAAATTTTTTTATTGTAGTAAAACAAAAATAAAATGTTTTACGAGACCTACTATTTAGTTAAATATGATTATCAATAAAAAAAATCTATTGTTTACACAAATCATTAAGATTTTACTGAAATATTTAAATTATAATTATTTTGATAATGAGGTCGACAACTGTCTTGTATCCTGTTAGTTCAAACTCTAAAGTGTCTTGTAATTTAAGTCTTGGCTCGTTTACTCTTTTAGATAATGCAGTGGGTCACCTACAAAAGATATCAGGATATTTAAGTCACTAGATGACGGTAAGTAGAGTTAATTCTTGAGAGTACATTAAATGTAATCGCCTATCTTATTACCCTAAACATGTATTTATAGGTTTTGAAATTGACTTTTAAGTAACATAATCCTAATCACGCTCTAAGAATTGATAAACATACTTTACCTGTAAACATACTTAATTTGTAAGTTTGACCATTATTAGGGGAATTATCGATCGATCGGTGATTATTATTAGTGGTTGTTCGGTTTTTGGGAGCTACCTCCAAATGTTCCAAAGTCAATTGTTGACCAGGCAGTCATACATTCCTCAATGTTGTGACTCATGTTCTTCTGGTATAGACTTATTATCATCAGCTCCTTGAGGGGTTGACCTCCTCTTGAGAGCGAGGATCAGGTTTGCACTCAAAGTTTCTTCCAAGATCTTCGCCCATGGTGCGCTGAGCGGTGTGTACTAATGAAAACGTAAGCCTCGTGAAAGATCCTTAGGGTGCTTGTCTGGTTTCTCATGGTCACCACTCAGTTTCTTCCCTTACTTCTTTTCACTCTTAGTAGCCTCTTGTTACTTCTGGCGGAACTCCTGTGTATCTTCCACCCTCATGTCCTCAACCGCTCTCCCTCAATTCTTCCATGGACTTAGGTGGCTTGCAACACAAGTTATCGGCGAATGGCCTGGGCTTCAAAATCGTCACAACATGTTGTAAGGCAAAGTCAAGATGTAAATCCTTAACTAGTTGCATGGTCTAACTATATCGGCTCATAAAAGCTCGTAGGGACTCCTCCTTCTCCTGCTTCAGGTTCATCAAAGCCAATGTTGTTAGGTTCAGCACCTGGCTTGCTGCGAATTGATGATTGAATAGTGTGTGGATGTTGTTGAAGTTCTCCACTGAGTTGGGTGATAGGGAATTAAACCATGTCAAGGCTTCTCCTTGAAGGGATAGGGAGAAAGTCCTACACCATATCGCATTGTTGGCGGTGTGAAAGGTCATTCGTTGATGAACATCTTGGGGTGTTCATTTGATCAAACGATTTGTCGTACATGTTGAAAGTTGTGAGACCAACTCTTCGAGAATATGCGTCTACATGATAGCAGGAACGAATGACAATAGGTCAGCCATGTTCGTTGTCTGCACGAAGTTATGGTCCTTACTTGTTCTCGTGCTTTCCTCCTGCATGGTTTTGGTATGGTCTCCTCTTGGCTTAGTCGAAACAGGTCGACTAGTTTTCCCAAGATGGAATGTTGGGCGGTCAACTTTTGCCTAGTGGTTGCATGCTCGGCTCTCAAGGTCGTTAACTCCTCTCCATGCCTCTTTTGCATCTCCAACATCTGCTGTTGCAAAACTTGAATCGTCTCCATCGGATCCTGGTGATTCTCTTGTCCTCCTTGCACCGCGTCGCTCACATTTCTTATGGTCACCATTAGGTTGTTACTTTTAGAATTCTCGGGCCCCATGGGGGGTTCCAAAAAGTTTCGTTAGTGGGGTCGAGGTCAATTGTCTTGTACCTTATGCTTTAGTTTAAACTCCAAATTGCCTTGCAATCCAAGTCTTCGCTCCTTTACTCATTTAGATCGTGCAGTGAGGTTATCTGCAAAAAGATACTCTGATGCTTAAGTCGGTAGATGATTGTCTAGTAAGTAAAGTTAATTCACGATAGTGTAATAAATGCAATCACTTACATCAAAGTTTCATAATGGATTTTTAATTAACATCGGCCCAGTCACGACCTAAGAGTTGATAAACATACTTAACTTGCAAACATACTTAATTTGTAAGTTTGACCATTATTATGAAAACTACCGGTTGTCGGTGATTATTATTAGTGGTTGTCTGGTTTCCAAAAGCTACATCCAAATGTGTCAACGTTGACCACCCAATCAACTATTAACCAGACGATCATATAGTACAATAATCAAAACTTAGCTATGTAAAAATATTAAATCTTTATTTAATCTCAAAATTAAAAATAAAATTTAAAAATGTATTTCATCAAACAAACCAATTATAAATAGAATTCAAATATCTCTAATACATTATTTTAAAAAAATAGTCCAACATAAAATTCTTTCCATTAAAACCCCAACATCTCTTAACCCTTGTGCATCTTCATCTCCATTTTCTTTATCATTTACCCCTATATAAAAGTACGATCATCACAATCATACAAAAACAATATTAAGGTGAACTAACATACAAACATCAAAATGTCATAATTAGAAAACACAAAAATCATAATATAACCACTCACCAAAATATTGCATAGTCATGATGTCTCACAACGTCATACAATTACACCGATTATTTCACAAAACATGTCATTACCGCAAAAACAATACAATCACCAATGATCTTAATGTCAAGAATTGATTTGTAACTCTAAGAGACAAATTAATAGTCACTCACCACTAGAGTAACCATCTTTCATGCTCTCCTCATGCCTTACAAATAAGACATTCTTCCTACTTCCCTGAAGCCTTACAAATAGGATCCATTTTCCATTATCGAGAGTTTTTCCAATGAAATATATAGGTGTCACTTCTCATTACTCTTCTTGAGAACTTTCCAATAAAATACGCAAGTGTACCTTTCCACCACTCTCTTCAAAAATATCTCCACAAAGTATACAAATATTACTTTCCAACCCTCTGTTCAAAAGTTTAGACGAAATTAACCTCTGTTACAACTACACATAATTATCCTTCATCACTATTCTTTAAGTCAGCACACAAACATACACTTATATTTTTAAACAAACATATATTAAAATGTCATTATAATCATAAAAATAACATTTGTAATCATAAAATATTTTCAAACAAATACAATAAATTAAGCTAACACATGCTTTTTAAAAAAAGGCATAATACCTCTTTAGGGGGGCAATGTTCAAGTCCGTCCTACGTTTTTTAAAAAGTTCAATGTGGTCCCAACTTGTGAAAAAAGTGTCCAAATAAATCCTTTTTTGTCACAACGTTAATTTTTTAACGGTGTAACTGACAACATGGACTGAACAGTACGACGTGTCTATTTTATGTGAAATGTTGGCTTTCTGAGGTTAAATGACGTGTAAAAAAAATATTTTGAGGGGTAGGGGTTGTTTGCTCTATATTGAAGAAGATGCAGATGTTGATGGAAGACTGGCGATGAAGGATTTACTTGCAGGTTCGAAGAGTTCGCGACGGGTGACTTTCATCATACCCATTTAGGTTCAATTTCACGCCCCATCCTACCCATCCTACACAATGCATCAAGTTCATTCTCAACCACTTTCAATACCAATAGATACCCAACATCAAGATACCAACTCGTGATCTTCATCTAATCTCAAGATTTTCTTTCATCTGCACAAAAAAAACGGATCAAAGCACAAACAAATCCCTCAAATTCAGTACATTCAATCCAATAATACATCCCCAATCTCCTAATTTCCACTTAGTTGGCAAACTCTAAACTAGCCATCCCAACCCCCATCCAAATCCTGTCTCCACCGCAACCGTGAAGCTCCCACCGTCGTCGCTCACCACCAAGCTTATCGTCGCCAACACACTGTTGTAAGTCGCGTGACCACGACCCCAAACCCTTGCGCCATGACTGTGACTGCGACCCCAAACCCAAACCCCAAACCACCACCAAGCTTACCGTCGCTGGAGACATGGTGTCTCCGGCCTGCTTCTCGTTCTTCTCGGGAGGCCAAACGGTCAACACGTTAACTCGCGGCAGGTCACCTTGCATCCTCTTAAAGGCCTCCCTTCTCTTGCTCATTCTCACGGAGGAAACCCTAAGAGGGGTTTGGGCTTGGCCCATCTTCAACGCAAGCAAACAACTCTATTCTATGTCAAAATATTTTTTTTTTAAATTTAAATTTTACACGTCACTTCCACGTAATGACATAAACTAGACACGTAATTATGTTTTGTCCACGATGTAAGCTGTACCATTAAAAAATTAACGCCGTGACAAAAAAGGATTTAATTGCAAAATTTTTTCACAAGTTGGGACCACATTGAACTTTTTAAGAAACGTAGGACGGACTTGAACATTGCCCCCTAAAGAGGGAGCAAAAGACGTATTAAGCCTTAAAAAAATTACAATAATTTTATTATTACATAATATTAAAATATCAATTAACAAAACTCCACCAATGACAACTCACTTTTGGATTACTCAAAAATAAACACAACGTGATAAACACTTTTACTGTATCAATTATCTTAATAACTCCAAATTATCTTACACTTTAAAATAAAAATTATACTATTTAATATTATCCTCTCCCTAATATATTCCAAAAACAAGTATACCATTACATATTATAAAAGATACTACTTATCATTACATATTATTATGAACAATTTTCTATTATTAAAATCACCCACTCTATTATGTATAAATCCTCCTAAATATATTTATTATAACACACCAATTTTCGTAAAAAAACAGTTATTAAAAAATTTACTCACTCCAAAACTTAATAATCAAAAGCCGCCAATCATAAATTTTTCATTATATAATACTCAATAATACAAAACAACTAAAGCC